GGCTATATTCACATTGATAATACAGTATAACTGTTAATGAACAGGTAAAGAAACCCACAAATGACATGACAGTATTGCCACACGTGTAATTACCACTCTGTTTTGGGCCTTAGATACACTTACCAACATATAAACACACATTTGCACATATGCCTGTACAAAGCTGTGTTGCTGAAGTGTAATGCTTGCTGTCCAAAATATGTTTTCGTCATGTTTCTATTGTAAAACCATTATCCCTGTCACCTCAAACTTCAAGGCAAAGCCACACACTCAGTAAACATTAAAGAGCATGTGATTTCTCCAAGCACATACATGATCTCTGAAGTATTTCATGATCTGAATGTATTTCATCAATCAGAATGTAAGGATTTACACTGAAACATGCATGCGGTGTGTTTGTGGTAGGCTGGCCGGGCACACCTTATTCTGTAGATATCTGTGAAGGTCTGGAGGACTGGAGTGGAGCAAACAGCCTCTCTAACCCGTCTGACACTGAGGAGGAGGAGGAGGCTGCCTGTTTGGTGAGAGACAGACATCCCACACTCACTCAGTCACTTATATAATTATTTTTTTTTTTACTTGTTCAACTGTTTGTTTTAGGTTGCTGGCAGATACAGGGCCTTCGTCGAGTGGCGTAAAAATGGGACAGATAACTTCATTATTAAGTGTGGTGATGTCATACAACTACAGCATGAGGAAAATGATGGCCATTGGTGAGTGATGTGCATGAAAATAAAAGAATATAAAGCGATATTCTGGGAGAAATTAAAGGGATAGTTCATTCAAAAATGAAATTCTGTCATTTACACCCTCAACTTCTGTGGCTTTATATGACCTAACATAAAAAAGGCATTTTGAGAAATGTCTCAGTGGTACAATTGGAAATCCAAAATTATTTGGCTACCAAAATATCTTCTTTGTGTTCCACTGAAGAAAGAAAAGTGATACAGGTTTGGAAGAATATGATGATTGATGATAGATATTTAAATTTTTGGGTGAACTATCCCTTTAAGTTTGACAGCATCTGACAGCATGATTTTGATTCCCTTAATGTTTTTTTTTTAAAGGAAAAGAATGGAAAAAAATGTTTAAATTGAAGTGTTATGGGAAATGTTAGTCCCATATCAGAAAGAACAACTTTACCAGGACTGGGCAAAATTCAGAATTAGATCCCTTTCAAATGCACAAAGAGTGAAAAATTTAAGGGGGTCTGAATACTTTCCGTACCCACTGTATATATATATATATACTGTATGTATATATGCATGCTTATACTTCTACACCATCCATAGACTTTTACACAGTTATTGAACTGAACGGGATCAACACTGAGCTTACTGGAGCTGAATAATCACACTATTGCTTTTTTAGAGCTGCTTTACAGCAGAATTGAGATGTTTTATGAAGCTGGCATCACTGATTCTGTTACTTTCCTGTTTAATAATGTGAAGCTGCTTCGAAACAATATCTGTTGTAGGCCTATAAAGCACAATACAAATAAAGGTGACTTGACTTTCATTATGAGTGAACTTTTTTTCTGGTGGTACCTATAGGTAAATTTAACCAGATTATTTCATTAAAATGCATTAGTTCAACAACTCAAATTTAATTGCACTAAAGTGGATTTAGATATTGGTTTGGTGTAAATCAGTATAGTTGTGTACTGTCACAGGCTGGTGAAGAATCTGAGTCGCAGACAGGAAGGCCGTATCCCTACTGCCAATCTGCAGGGCATGCTGGGGGAAAGCCTCAAGAATCACTCCAACCGGCTTGGAGGTGAGAGTCCATTTGGACATCCACTGCCTTTTTAGAGTAGTTCCCTGTAGACTCGAGTTTCCTTGTTGCATAAAATCCATACTGTCATATCTTCTCTGCAGACCCAGGGAATCGTAAGGCGCGGAAGCTCAGCTCGCCGTGAAGGAATGGCCCAGTGCTATATTGGACCTTTAACATTCACACTTGGTAGCTCAGACTGTATGTGACTACATGGATTCAGTCCTGACCAGCAGGATTGTGTTCCAGATGTTTTGTACTGATCCTCTTTGACAGATGCTACCAAAATGCAAAAGACAAATTGTTGTACATCTTACAAGAGATCTCGACCATTTCAGAAAACCCAGAGAGCGCTTTTAAACATCTGTCCTCTGCCTAAACACACTTCAGTCCTCCTGACTAGGTGAAGCCTAGAACATTCTGACTCTGAGATTGTCCCAGTAGACTTCAGAGTTGTTTTTAATGAATCAAGGCCCATCAAAAGGCCCCTTCGTTGCTGTCTTCACGGTTAACTCCCAGAAGACCTATGAAAACATCCTGTTCGTAAAGGACCTGACTTTTTTAACTGTGTGTTTGTGCTGTTATTTATCTTGTACTGTTACTGTTATATTTATCCTCAATCTGAGCTCTTCCTGAGAGCTTCAGTGCCAAATCATGCAGTGCCATAATGCATGTTTTCCCACTTTTATTTAATACAGACTTTGCTCAGTAGTGCACTAGTTACCTCAAAAAATATTTAAAAGCACTTTATTCAGGTCACATAAATTTGTGGCTCTTTGTGTCTTTCTACAGCTTTAAACTGGATGAATTTTGCATGCCAGAAATTCTTACCTCTCTTATTTAGTAAAATTCTCTTGTCAGGCACTTTACATGCAGAATCTACTCTGCCAGCTTGAAGACCTGGGGGCCGTCATGTAAAAGTTGACTTTGGAGCCACAAATATGAGTTATGAGGGGGTGAGCAGAGTGCATGTGTGTTGAAATCTGCGAAATCAGAGCCGTGTTGATGGAGGTTTCTTATTAAGGGAGATCATACAGAAAACATTAAATATACCCTCTATTTAGAATGCTTAATTAAATATTAATTGCAGACTTATATGAATTTACTACATTAAATCAGGCCTACAGTTGGAGGGCTGACTTTGATATACCAGCGTTTGAAGTGGAAATAAGCTGTGTGTAGCAGCAGGAGACGCTGTGCAGTACATATCTCTTATGTTATTAATTTCGCTATGAAGTTGTTCCCTTCCAGCGTGGAGCTCCAGCCATCCACTCAAAATCAAGCCACGTAAAGGACACAACTTCCTGAAAACTGTGCTGTTTTAGCCATATATACTGTCAGCTTTGCATATTTATATGCTTATTCATGTCCACTTACCAAATGTCCAACACATTGAATATCTGGGATTCAAAATTTCATGATCATTAGTTTTTCCATCATGTTCATGTTCATTTTTCAATTCAATTTTTCACACAGAAATAATGCAAAAGAGAAGCATTTTCACTAATGGTCTCAGATTTTTGGACCCCAATATATCTAATAGCATTTAATCCTGATTTTTGTTTTTGTTTGTTTTTTGGGACTGGCTTTTAAATGATTCTTTTTGAAGGAATGTACTGTATCTGTGTTGACTGTTGTATTGTAACAATATTTAAATTTGTACAGCCTATTGAAAATTAAGAAATAATTTTTTTAATAAAACTATTTATGTCAGACTCTGTTCCATGTCTCTTGTTGTGTTTTCCTCCCCCACATGCTCCAGGTTGATTATTATGCCCATATTTGGTTTTTCCTGTTCCTGTCCTTGTTTAGTTCATTTGTTCCCAGGTGTGTCCCATTAGTTTCTGTGTATTTAAAGTGTGTTCTGCCCCTCGTTTCCCGTCCGCTGTTTTATGTCATTTTATGTCCTCAGTGATTACCGTCTCCTCGCTCCTTCGTTCCCGTTCTCCCAGTGTGAATCGTGACGGAACAGCAGACCAAAACAGTAAGCGGCGCCCCTTCTCCCGTGTTTTTGTTTTCGTTTTGAATAGTCTTTTGTTTTCCCGTTTTTCTCCCCATGGTATGAGGACCGCCCTGCTGTCAAGCATGCCGGCCACACCGTTGTCAAGCCGTCTTACTATCAGCCATGATTATTCTACTCTGTTAATTAAAAGGCTGTTTATATGCATATTCACTAATTATGAGAAGCACACATGTAAAAGGCTGACAATTAGCTGAACATATACTTGTTTAATTAGTGACACATAGCCTGCATTTTAAAATCTTTATTTCAATGTGGCAATTAGCAGTTTTGTTTTTAAACATTTATTTGAATATGGCAACATAATATTGCGCTCTTCAATATTTCTATGAATAAATCTCTGACCGAGACTATCAGCCAATCACTGTGTGCATAGTTAGTAAGCAAGCTGACATCATCCATAGCAACAAGGTCAACCCCGCCCTTTCTCTTAGCTTAAGACTTCTGTCTATTCCTTAGTAAATGCTTGTCTCAGCAGCTTTGTGAATAGGTTTTAAGAGAAAACTCTTAGTGGTAAGATAAAATGTTTTGTGAATACGGGCCCAGTTCTGTTGTTATCTCCCAGAGACTGGCCTCAAATGATGAAAGGATCTTTCACGGGCAAGATGTGAGTGATCTGATGCCTCCAGTGTTTATGGGTAAGACCCAGTGATTTTCAGAACTAGGTCACGACTCACAAGTCTTTTAAAGAACGCTGTTGAAATCTTAAGTAGGTTTCTAGTGTCAGATATTTTCAGTCATCCCCTCACGTTCCTCCAGTTTCCCTCTGAAGGCAGTGGCAGTTCAAAGCTTAAGGGCTACATTTTTTTTTCTTTCTGTCTGAATGAGAGATTGAGTTCTCAGTCAAGAAACCTTAGCAGGTTCTAACCATGTAGCAAGACAGTATCTTGCTTAATAACATACTTGCTTTCATTAAACCACAGGAGAAAACAGCAGGTGTCTATGGATTATTAAATGTCCTTATGGGACAGTGAAAGTACTAAGTCATGTATAGATGACGAAATGCTGCACAGGGTTTATTGATGGAATCTCATTGGCCAGCCAGGTCTTAAGGGGCGGAGCATGACTACAGTCTGTTACAATGGGATCAGTGGATTACGAACAATCTAACTATTTGTCACTTTATTTAATTAAACAAGATCATCTTCTCTCTCCAGGTTTGAATACGCCATGTGTGCAGATGACATTTTAAAATGAGAATTTAAGGTCACAGGTCCACATTTTTAAGCAATACTCCCTTTGTAACTCCGATGACGTGCTGTATCCAACGATAATAGTTACCAACCTGGGTGTACACACCGTACTTCCCTTTCTTGGCACATTCTTCTCCCCAACTGACAATGCCTGTGAGGAACCAGGTGTTGTGGTAGCGCATGGCATGAGGTCTCCGCTGTCCCCCTGACACGCGTCTTTAGGAGAATCTGAGTATGCAGCACAGAACATGAAGTATGTGATCAGGTCACTGCTGCTTTCCTTACACACTGTTCTGTCGACATAAGGCAACTCAACCTTCTGTAAAGTCACTGCACTTCGGCCTTGGAAGCGCAGACGGCCCCAACCACTGACAGTAGCCAGAGATCCAGACTGCAGCAGTGAGTTGGAGAAGAGCATGGGTCCCAAGCAGATGGGACGTACATTTGGGGTAAAACAGATGGGGCTGTGCAGCCTCAACAAGGCAATGCCATGATTGTAGCAGTGTGAACACAGCAGCGACTGACTGCTACCTCAGATAGTCACGCAGTGTGAAAACAACGGCGATCCGACGAGTTTGAAAATCGTGCAGTGTGAACTCGGCATTACTTTGGATTCATAACGGGGATGTGAGATGAAACGGGTGACGTTCAGATTCTGTTCTGTGCCTTCAGTCTTGGAGACGTCATGCTCCCCTGTGAAACATACAGTAGTTGTTTAGTTTAATAATATTATTAATAACTGGTTTGGATCTGTAAAAATTTAAAGAAAAAAATATCTACAGATTCTTAAAGGGGTCATATGATGCGATTTCAAGAGTGTTACAAATACAATTTATCATATTTATAATATATATCTTAATATTATTTCTTATAAATCTGACAAATTGTACTAAAAAAGTAAAATAAACTTTCTAAAAACAAGCCTTTGTAATCCCCTAACTTGCTTGAGGATGTTTAGATATTTTTACTGAAATACAAAAAATATTGATGAAGAAAGTAATAATGCTGTGTATGCTGTATGCTGTGACTACATTTAATACATATTCACTATTTGTTTTCATATTTTACTATTAAATATATTTTAAATATATGTATTTTTATTTTTCATTTTTAATTATTTTATATATTTAAATATTGGCGCCATACATCATTTTAATTTAATCAGTATTTCCTTGGCTGTTGTTCTGGTCTTACCAACTCTGATGTAGAAGGATCCATTCTGGCTTCCTACCAGACAGTGGGCTGCAGTAATGACCCATACCTGGTTGAGAATGGAGCCTCCACAGAACACCTGCTGTGTTGAGCGCGCCACCAGCGCCACCTAGAGAGTAGGCCTGTCTTTTTGTTGTGCGATATATTGCCCCAGAAATAATTGCGATAAGCGATATTATTGTCATTTTAAAGACCATTTTATGCCACTGAATATATAATCATAATGTAACAGCATAATAATGTAAGAAAGCCTACACACTTCCAAATGACAACAAACTTTAATTTTTAAGAATATTTAAATCATGGAAATGAAGCATCAGAATATTAGATACCTTAAAAAACCTGAATAAATAGTAAATAAACAAAAAGTGCAAAGTAGAAAAAAAGAAAAATGCACAAAGAACTTGAAAATTTTAGATTTTTCCATCTACAGATTTTTCCCGGACCTTCTTTTCTCTGTAAATTAAGTGTGCACACACTATTGCTGAGAAACACAATCTCTACTTAGCAGTCAGATGTCCGTATGCACAAAGGCACCGATCCCTAAACAAGACCATATCTGCAGATGAAACTGTTTGTAGAAGCATTTTTTAAATGTGAACTAGCACCTCATGACTAGCCTACACCACGTTATGTAGCCTACCAGAAGCTGCAAAAGACACAAGCGCAAGTGGAATGTACAAAACATGGTGACATAATTTTTTAAGTAAATATAATGTACGATATATTGCGTCACCAAAAATTATTGTGGTCATGTACATATATTGCGCGACAAGTCGATATATTGATTATTGCGACAGGCTTACTAGAGAGCAGCAGTCAACTAAAACGACATGATTTTGGGTGCACAAACAGATTGGGTTGTACAGTAGGCCAGTAGATGTGCCCCTAACTTAGGGTGACCAGACGTCCCGTTTTTCCCGGAACAGTCCCGTATTTCAGCTCTTTTTTAGTCTCCCGACTAATTTTGAAAAAATCATGTTTTGTCCCGTATTTCAACATTTCTTTATGACTGGCCCTGGGTGATCACAGCGAGTAGTAGAAGTGTTCTATCACGCGAGAACAGCCTAATCAATGGTAAGTAAGCTTGTCGTAGAACCAAATTACCATCCAATCACAATTCGTTATCGATTAACTTGGCGTAATAGTGAAGGCGGAACCGCGCGATCCCAGTTCTGCCTGCGCCTTAATTGTTAAATACGCACACAGCTGTCAAAATGTCAATCGTGTGGAGTATCTCACGTAAATACAGTCGGTTATGGCTTAAGGGAACATAAACAGGTGGGTGAAAATCGGATATGTGTCAGTATATTATAGTCATTCGGTCTTAAAGGGACAGCAGCCTAATTAAATACCTGTGTCTCCAAGAGCTTGTAACACTCCAAAGAGAAAGGAAAAATTGAAATCGCATCATATGACCCCTTTAATGTTAATCAAACAGCAAAAGATGTTAAATAAAGTATGCATGTTAAACGTACTGTATTAGAAAAACAAGTTTATTTAATATTTAATGTGTATCTATTGTATTTTTCTTATGGTTTGTAATTTGCTTTATTTTTATATAACAATAACGATGTACGTGTGGCTATATATATATATATATATATATATATATATTCCCCCCTCCCTCAGTCCATTCCTTGTGAATTTCACTCAAATTCTTGAATCGATTTTGCTTGACAATCCTCATAAGGCTGCGGTTCTCTCGGTTGGTTGTGCATCTTTTTCTTCCACACTTTTTCCTTCCACTCAACTTTCTGTTAACATGCTTGGATAGAGCACTCTGTGAACAGCCAGCTTCTTTGGCAATGAATGTTTGTGGCTTACCCTCCTTGTGAAGGGTGTCAATGATTGTCTTCTGGACAACTGTCAGATCAGCAGTCTTCCCCATGATTGTGTAGCCTAGTGAACCAAACTGAGAGACCATTTTGAAGGCTCAGGAAACCTTTGCAGGTGTTTTGAGTTGATTAGCTGATTGGCATGTCACCATATTCTAATTTGTTGAGATAGTGAATTGGTGGGTTTTTGTTAAATGTGAGCCAAAATCATCACAATTAAAAGAACCAAAGACTTAAACTACTTCAGTCTGTGTGCATTGAATTTATTTAATACACGAGTTTCACAATTTGAGTTGAATTACTGAAATAAATGAACTTTTCCACGACATTCTAATTTATTGAGATGCACCTGTATTTCATGATATCTAAATTCATATATACAATTTCTCATATCGTCTCCCCCCCGTCCCGTATTGAACCATGACAAATCTGGTCACACTACCCTAACTCAATAATTTACTCATAGATGATTTGATCAAAGGCGTTTTGACTGCTATAGCACATAATATTTATAATCTTTACCTGCCAAGGGATTTCTCCAGGTAAAGCTGGATTGCCACCAACAATATGACTTTTTGGGGCATTTACTGTTGGTTCAGGAGACATCAAATACTCATCAAAGACCCATTCGGGGAGTTTAACATGAGATGGCGGGATTTTGCTGCCTTTTTGTTTAGAATCTGTAGAGGTTGTCCAATTGTCCGGTTTGGAAGTGCTGGATGTGGATTTGATTTTCTTATAGGAAGACTGTGCAGATGTGCCAGAGGTGGGACCGCTGGCAAAAGTTCTCACAGCTGTTTTACTGACTTTGCCACATGGAAACTTAACTAATAACACATAAAAAACACATTGTTTTTGTTTTATGTTTTGCTTGCAGTGTCTTTCTCTAAAACAACTGTTGCTTGTTCTTTAAGAAAGAAAGTAGCTCTTTTAGATATTTTTGGAACAATCAGGACATTAGGAATTTAAGAAGTAATTAAATCACCTATAGGTTCACACGTGAATTCATCTTCTTTAAGTCTGTAACCGGATGCACACTGACACCCTGTCCCATGAGACTCCATCACAACACAGAAATGCTCACAGCCTCCATTATCAACATCACACATTTTGGCAGTCACTGAGAAACAGCACAAAGCATCTTTTTGATTATCTTCAGGAATTTATTAGATTTTCATTATAATTATTAGCTCAACATGGTGCACTGTGTGTTTGAAGGAAGAAAGATTTCTTGTCTAACCTATTTCACAGACATGCCTGGTAGACAGTTACAGGTGTATGTGCCCATCTGGTCCTCACAAGTGCCTCGGTTTTGACAGGGTGATGATTTACACTGGTCCCCATCTAACAGACAGGATCATTTATTAACAACTGGTAAGAAAAAACAATGTATAGAAATAAAGTGCTTTATTAAAATTCTGGAAGAAGGAACAGATGGAGATTCAAATCCAGTTTAAATAATTTAAATAATTTGTCTAATTAAACGTTACCTACATGGATTTTATTTCCTGAATTCTGAGTTTAAGAATACAATGATGTCCAGTTCAAATATTAGGCTATTTAATTTATTGGTCCAATTACAATCTAAACATATGACATCATATGGACGTTTTTTAACTTTAAACTGTTGCTTCTGGCCAAAAGTCATCTATCCATAATAACACTTCTTCCAGTGAAAACATTCATCCCCTGTTTTTCTCTCACATCAAAATCCACTGACATATTTGTTTAGAACTGTTTTCACTTGTAAACGGTGCTTGATCTGTGCATGTTTCTCTCCTGATTCAGACAAGACAGAGAGAATCAGGAGAGAAAGCAATATTATGGATAGAGCACTTTTATTTTAGCCGGAGGCAACAGTTTGAAGTTAAGAACGTTTTAATGATTTATATGTTTATTACAAACACGCATCTTTTTGCTTTACAGGATGGACTGGAGTAATTTGGATTACTTGTGGTTTGTTGTGATGTTTTTATCAGCTGTTTGGACTCTCATTCTGACGGCACCCATTCACTGCAGAGGATTCAGATTTCTCAAAATCTGTTCCAATGAAGACACAAACTCATCTACATCTTGGATGATCTGCGGGGTGAGTACATTTTAAGCAAATTTTCATCTTTAGGGTGAACTGTTGAGATCTTCTCCTGTTTGCCCTTGGTAAATACGACGGTAAATGATTAAACACACTTACCAACATAACCTGCCCAAAACTCCATCTGAAAAACAGACCAAACACTCATTTGCTATATTACACAGCGCATGACAACTGACGAACCACAACTTGTCTACTCACTGCCTTTTCATCATTTTCAAAGGCTTCTCTGGCCTCCTCCAGGGCACACTTCTCCTCCATACACTCCCTCTCCACATTCCCATTCAGAAACTTCTCAAACAGTCCTGTGTTTGCTCGCCTGTGTCTCCGCAAAATGCTGTCAGCTTTCTCCCCATCTAGTAACACTGATCCTGTGGCTATTACAGAGTTTGAGAGTTTATAATTATTACTGGAGGGGAACTACTGAAAGCATAGATGTGAATATGATTATTAACCCTCAGAGAGTCAGAAGGCAAATGCCAAGTGTGCCTGCTATGTTCTCTGTCAGCTCTAAGAAGTCTGATTTATGAGAGGTAAATGGTTTTGTAGGTCTTACCTGCAAAGGCCTGTAGCAGAATATATTGGAATAGAAGGAGAATGAATGAAGCCATATGTCAATCCAAATTCAGTCCCTTATTATTCCACAGTGAGCTGACAAATAACCTGAGCCAACGCTCCAAAGTACACCTGTCTACCACACTTCCACACAAACGACTGGCACAGGATATTCTGTTTGAGTGAGAGAAATAAAAGTAGAACAAAATAACAATGTTTTTACTGAACATTTCACATTCATATTTGTCTACAAGGAGCTACAAGTGGTTTGAAAAGAGATGGAGATAATATTTTACAAAATGTACTTTTGGACTGTCAAATTTAGTATGTACACTATATATATATATATATACATACATACATTTTTTTTATTTACCCAAGTAAACTTTAATATATTTAATTTTGGAAACATGTATTTCAACTTGTAGTATTTATAATATTAAATGTAATATTTTCCCCACACAATATAAATGTATTTACATATACATTAATATATTTACAATATGTACAAAATGTATTTTTGGCCTGTCAAATTTAATATGTACACTTTGGATATTAATTACATGTTGTTTTACATAAGTGATTTATATGTTTATTACAAACACGCATCTTTTTGCTTTACAGGATGGACTGGAGTAATTTGGATTACTTGTGGTTTGTTGTGATGTTTTTATCAGCTGTTTGGACTCTCATTCTGACGGCACCCATTCACTGCAGAGGATTCAGATTTCTCAAAATCTGTTCCAATGAAGACACAAACTCATCTACATCTTGGATGATCTGCGGGGTGAGTACATTTTAAGCAAATTTTCATCTTTAGGGTGAACTGTTGAGATCTTCTCCTGTTTGCCCTTGGTAAATACGACGGTAAATGATTAAACACACTTACCAACATAACCTGCCCAAAACTCCATCTGAAAAACAGACCAAACACTCATTTGCTATATTACACAGCGCATGACAACTGACGAACCACAACTTGTCTACTCACTGCCTTTTCATCATTTTCAAAGGCTTCTCTGGCCTCCTCCAGGGCACACTTCTCCTCCATACACTCCCTCTCCACATTCCCATTCAGAAACTTCTCAAACAGTCCTGTGTTTGCTCGCCTGTGTCTCCGCAAAATGCTGTCAGCTTTCTCCCCATCTAGTAACACTGATCCTGTGGCTATTACAGAGTTTGAGAGTTTATAATTATTACTGGAGGGGAACTACTGAAAGCATAGATGTGAATATGATTATTAACCCTCAGAGAGTCAGAAGGCAAATGCCAAGTGTGCCTGCTATGTTCTCTGTCAGCTCTAAGAAGTCTGATTTATGAGAGGTAAATGGTTTTGTAGGTCTTACCTGCAAAGGCCTGTAGCAGAATATATTGGAATAGAAGGAGAATGAATGAAGCCATATGTCAATCCAAATTCAGTCCCTTATTATTCCACAGTGAGCTGACAAATAACCTGAGCCAACGCTCCAAAGTACACCTGTCTACCACACTTCCACACAAACGACTGGCACAGGATATTCTGTTTGAGTGAGAGAAATAAAAGTAGAACAAAATAACAATGTTTTTACTGAACATTTCACATTCATATTTGTCTACAAGGAGCTACAAGTGGTTTGAAAAGAGATGGAGATAATATTTTACAAAATGTACTTTTGGACTGTCAAATTTAGTATGTACACTATATATATATATATATACATACATACATTTTTTTTATTTACCCAAGTAAACTTTAATATATTTAATTTTGGAAACATGTATTTCAACTTGTAGTATTTATAATATTAAATGTAATATTTTCCCCACACAATATAAATGTATTTACATATACATTAATATATTTACAATATGTACAAAATGTATTTTTGGCCTGTCAAATTTAATATGTACACTTTGGATATTAATTACATGTTGTTTCATAAGTATTTTTACACTCATATACTATTTTTTTCTGCTTTATAAAGACTGGTGTAATATGTTAATCTCAGATACGCTGTTAACTTAATAATAATAATAATAATAATAACAATAATTATATATATATGTGTGTGTGTGTGTGTGTGTGTGTTCGAGAGTCCTTGGCATCAAAAAGTTTCAAAATCAAATCTCCACTAGATGGTGCTGCTGCTTCAATGAGTAGATCAATAATGTAACTGTTAGATAGTTTCCCCCTCTTGAATCAGTTTAGCATTCAATGGTTTCCTCTTTCACTATTAGAGAAAAGAGATGACACTAGAATGCGATGAAATATGCAATACTTCTCTATCATAAAGAAAGCATTATCATCTATATATATTCTCCACAGATGGGCCCTGGATTGGGGACTGTGGGAGGGGCTGAATCAGCATATTGGAGAACAGCCCAGATCACGCTTCAGTTCCGCTGTAAGTGCTCTTGATTTCTTCTCGCCCCTTGGGAATTTTTTTATCTTCTCAGATGGAGCTTTCTTATTGACTGTGGGCTTTTCATTTTCATCCACCCATTACTGGACTGAATTATTAATTTCTAAGTAATTAACACTGGTCATCAATCCCACTGTGTGAGTGCCAGTCAATCTGTAACTGAGAGTTAGATTTCATTGCTGAGATGGGTTTTGGCTCACAGCCTCTTAAGCAGCAATCAACAGACTGTTACTGCAGCTATAAGAGCATGAGTAAAATGACTACATCACTCAAAACTTTTTTCATTACTGCACTTAATGCTTGGAAAAGCTTTACCCCCAGTTAGGCTTCACAGCCATTTTTAAAACCAACACCATCAATCAGTGAAGCTGAAGTCTCTGAAGGCAGAGCTATATTTAGACAAATCCAGACAACGCTAACAAAGATTACTAAAACATTACTATGTTTAAAATGCCATGACGTTCTGGAATGCTCGTTTATGATTGGTCCATTGCACTATCCCTGTAATCCATGGCAACGTTGTACATCAGTGACAGTTACCTCAGATGACTTCAGTATATTGTTGCAAACTTTGTCTCGTTGCTAGTTTGTTTTGGACTTTGTAGTGGACTATTTTTCCCAACAGAATCTGCAAAATAATGTAAGATTATAAAATAATTTCAACTCAAATCAATATTTAACGTGCACATTTTTGGGGAGTAGCTGGCTAGCTAACAAAAACATGTTCTAAGAACGTTATTCGAACGTTCCCATTAAATTATTGAAAAGTTATTTCTAAATGTTCTCTGAACATTCAAAATGTGCGTTTTTTAAATGTTTCAAAAATGTGCTTTTTTTACTTTCCTGGTTATATAGCTATAGGATACATTTCATTTGATCATTTTGCAAACATTGTGGGAATGTTACTTTTGAAAGTTTTCTGAATGTTCTGAAACAGGTAGTAACATAAAAAAAAAACAAGAAAAAAGAAAAATGTCCAACTAAAACGTTTTAGAAGAAAAACATTCCATGAATTATAATGTTTTTGCGCTAACGTTTTGAGAATATTATCAAAGACCAGATAACTTTAAACAAAAGTTCTATTAACATTACTGGGACATTAGGCTGTAGGATGGATAAAAAATTTTTCTTGTAGGCCTATTTTATATTATGCACTTTATGTAACATTTATTCATGATAAACTTCATTTGAATGCTGACTATCACACGTAATACAGCCTGGTAGCCAAGGCCTATGGTTAATATAAAAATGTAATAATGTAATAATTTCTTAATTCAAAATAAAATATTAATGAATCCATCTCTGATAATCCAGGGTTGCTATGGTCACGCAGGTTTGTTTACGCATTAAACTCGTGGCCACGAGAAAAATATGTCGTTCCCTCAACATAAGAAGTCGTGGCCACGAGAAATGGATGTCGTTCCCTCAACAAAATGATCTCTTGGCCACGACATAATGTCACGTTCCCACGAGTTAATATGATGTTCCCATGAATTAATATCGCGTTGCCACGGCATATTATCACATTCCCACGAGTTATTATGTCGTGGCCACGACAAAACTAAGTGAACCGACCATGTCACCTCGCGGAATAAATATAAAATATTATTAATAATAATAATTTAAAAAATATATATATATCACTAGCGATTCTTTTCCGCTAACCCCTTTTTCCCCTGGAATTTTAGGGCCTGTCCCAACACACACAGTTTCAGTCTTTGCATTTGTTCACTTGTATACTTACATGACAAATTTCCTGTATTTGGCCCAAGTGTGCTTGTAGACTGCAAGTGTGTGTTGCAACTTACAAGTAAAGTTTTACAGAGCTTTACTTACACATTTTGATTTTCAATACTTTAAAATAAACTTCTAAATGTCTGTTCAGTAGCCCCTAGAGTAGATAGTGTACGTTAAGGGCCCTGATACACTATCATTTGGCAAAATGCAGTTTCTCTCATCATGTTTTGAGGTGGCATATACTTTAACTTCACTGGGCTGAAATACATTGGGTCTTTGCCTGATACACAGCTGGTGCAGAGACTGTGTGTGTGGGAACTGAAGCTGATTTATAACACAGCACCACTGATTTCAGCAGTGATGTGCGTCTGTCTGCCTGCCTTGTGCTGCTGGGAATTGGTGCCGTCTCCAATTAGATTAGAGGCTACTGCGAAAGATCAGCCCTCTCCAGTAGATAATAAAAAAGTGACGCCTGTTCAGTGTAATCGATTATGGAGAGCATCTTCACTCTGGGGAGGTAAGCAGATCGCAAAGGTCCCAGCCTTGTGAACTCTGCACAGGACCTGTGTAGCTCATTAGAGTCCCTGAGCCATTTGTACAAACTTATTTTTGGCCTCAAAAAACACCTGACTGGGTGTAACATAATGTGCAGACAGAAGGGATGAAGAGAGAGATGAGGAGCTGTGATTGTAAACAGGTACAAGACTACACTGTTCTCAGAGATGCTTCATGTTCCCCTGATCCACACTATGTTATTTAAAGGAATAGTTCAAAATTCTGTTGTAATTTACTCAGGAGATGTTAGGCACAATGTTCATGTTACTCTTCTCCATGATAGTGAATGGTGACCAAAAACACTGTAAAAGCACTCCATATGACTCATGCACTATGTTCTTAGTCTACTGAAGTCATGTAATAGCTTTGTGTGTGAAAAAGACTGAAATTTAAGTTTAATAGTTTCATTTTGCATACATTATTTATTCTAACATGGCGCATCAAGACATGCCACATGATACTGGTTCTTGTGTGTCTCGTAACCGATCTGAATGTACCAAATGTAAATATGCGCATATTCAAATTACACAAATGAGATTTGTGAGCAACAGCAGCAGGGAAGATTATCTGGGAATAACGAACTGTAGTCTGTTCCAAACATAAAGCTATTGTTCAGAAGACTTGTAATGTAGTGTACAATTGTTCGCTAGTTCTCTAGTTTTTCTAATCTCATTTTCTGAATTGCGATATTCTTGTGAACGTCTTGTGATGTTCTTAATTTATAAACTGCTTCAGATAAAAGCTCCTAAAAAAGCTCCTAAAAATAATGTACATATGGACCATTTTTTGTGATACGTAAACCCTTTTTTTTTGTCCTTTTTTGAACTTGACAGGCCCTGCTCGCCATTCACTTTCATCTTTCAGTTCTATGGAAGAAAAAATGAATACAGGTCTGAAACAACATGAGAGTGAGTAAATCATTATGGAATTTGAATTTTTGGCTAATGATTCCTTTAATGAGTTTGGCAACAGAGGTACTTGTTTGTAGCTGTATTACGGTATATATGCCCTACATATAGTATCCAGGACATGTAGAATAAGTATATCTGTATACTGAAGTTGGTTTAGATGATACATTTAATAAAAGCACTAACTGAGCTTGAGTTTCACATGAATTTCTTCCTTTAGTGAGATTGATTACTCTCCAGAGACGGCGAGGCAGCAGGCCAGACCGCAGCTATATAGCAGTGAACATCACATAGAACAGTGAGAACAGAGAAACATCACACCAACAGGAAACGGCACAGAGAAGACTGAGAAAGGTTGTAATTACTTCACTTTGCTTTGTACGTTTTTAGACGAAAGAGAGAAAAATAAACTTTGCACCATCTCAGATGAATGCAGACAGCCTTAGAATAGCAGGCTGTCTGAGAACAACCTTCACATCACACAGGCACCACAATCTCTGCCTCTGTTTCTGCGGTTACAGGGATTAGCCATGACTCACCATGTAAGTCCTTACTGTTTTCCTCCTTCTCTGAGAGCGCAGTCCAGACATCAGTCACTCCTCACTGTGTGTTTACCCTGCTGCTACTCCTGCGGGAACATGGGAGCGTGTGTGGGTGTGTTTTCAATCACGGTGGCATAAGGAACCAAAGCTATTATTTATGCAAATGACATATAATTTTATTGAAGAACCACTTTCAGAACCTTTAGGTCATGCACTGGGGCTTCAAGTCTTGATTTCTGCTTTTGAAGTGACCCTCTAACCACCATATTCAGTTTATCAGAGTTCAGCTCAAGATAATAAAATGACTGTAAATTAAAAATGAATATATGAAATAATGGAGAATAAATGAAATAATCCTGTTGTTTATTTTAGTAATATTTATATTCTATTATAGTATTCATTAATGTTTTAATAAACTTTTATTTCGGTTTTAGTTTTAGTAAATGTAGTTCAACTTTTCTAATTTTTGTTTAAATTTTCAATTAATATTAATATTTTATTTCATTTCAGATATATTTAAATGAAAAATAGGGGTTATATCTAAACTATAAGGTTTTTAAACATTAAGGTTTTTAATGTTAAAAACACAACTAGATATACAGTAGGTCGACCGATTTTAACAGAAAAATTTGAACTTTTCTTTTAACTTTTCAGCACAAGTATATTTACAAATGTTAATTTAATTTAATGTCAAAAAAGCAAATTTTATTTAATGTCAAGGCAGGTTGCCACATTTTTGAGGGGCAAGCCATATATTAAATTGTCATTTTATGCAATTTATTATTTAAAAATTGATATCTCCTTTTCATGTTCTGCTTTTTCATTAATTGTATTGTGTTTGGCAGGTTCCCACTGAGACAACCATGGTAACTGGGTAACCATAAAGTGTAACAACAAACCCTGTATGTTAATGTTGTGTTCAATAAACTATATAAGGGCAATATCAGTGGAAATGTTCAATAGCTTTTAGCCAAGACCTCAAGGTATGTGCCTATTCAGAAATGGAAAAAAATAATATTAAATAATAAATAAACAAACAAACCTGCCCTATGTTAGTGGCCTAAAAAGTGTGACAACTAGCCCACTTCCCCCTTATATTCTTTGACCAGAGAATCAGTTGCTACGTAATATGTTATGGTACTGTAGCACTGGTTATTTATCATAAAAAAGTGAACAATGTCAGTGACATGTTAAGCTATGTGTTTCAGTGTGTTTAATCAGTTTGGATCAGGACTGATGACCGTGTGTCTAATCTCTCCCATGCTAGACATGGAAGCATCCCATTTGTTTTCTGAAGGTGAGTATAGGGGCATTTGCTGCTGCTGGCTCTGACATCTGTCTCCCTTTCCACCATTAAATCACACGGAGCGCTCCCGACTCCCTCCCTGTGGGCGCAGTTATAAATGGAACGACTGCAGGCTTGAAGGATCTGCCCATGCCTGAGTCTCCTGGACATGGCCATTGACATTAATCTGGTATTTGTTCGAGTGCACCTCTGTTAATTAGCACAGTCATTCTGTGCATCTGAAAGGGTAATGTTTCACACCCACAGCCCCTGTGCGCCACTCCAGCTCGGCCGAATCTAAGCAGCTGACATTTAAACAATCTGCTTGATATTTAGTAAGAGGATGAAAAGAAATAGCTATTATAGCTATGTGTGCTCAAAACTGTAAACACATTTCTTTGGACTCTCTCTGTCTCTCAATTTACAGGCCTGAGTTTGACACCTTGTCTGACAGTAAGTGAATATGTGAAAATCCCACTGACACTTTTGTGATTTTGTGACCACTGAATGGATGATCAACAATTCAGATTGTAAATGAACTGCTAAGTTAAAGGCTGACACTGGGGTGAAAGGTACTATATGTACCATTTAGGTACTGATATGCACCCTTTAGGGGTAAATAAAGTACAAAGGTGTACCTTTTAATGGGGTACCGCCCCAGTGACAACTTTTGTAACTTCTTTAGTAGCTGCAGCATTCCAATTCTTATATTGGAGCATGGAGTACGATCTATGCTTCAGGGAATAATAACAAGAGGGCTGGAAAAGTATTTTATTAATTCCTTCAGTTCATTTGTCGACCCTGTCTAAGTAAAAAAAAACCTCCAACCAAGTCCAGTATCACTGGCATTACACTGCCTTTATCCCATCACCACAATCAGCAGCTGGTGATTACAGTGGAAGTGCAAATGCCTAGAAACAGTATCAGTGCTCCCATGTAATTCTGTGATGGCCCAATTCACAAGTTTCCAAACATTTCTAAATGCAGGACTTAATTTTGGACTGAAATTGGCAACTGCAGACTATGTTCGACCATATTACTCGTAAGATGATACTCAGCTTAGCTGTTAACATTTTTAGAGTGTTCTCAGACCTCCGGCATTCATCAAATGCCAAAACGAGACAAACACACATATTTTGTTCATTATCATGAAGAAAGTTCACATTGTGCCTAACAAAATATCACAACACTTCCAGCTTTATAACAGACTCTTTTTCTTCCTCTAGTTTCTTTCTCAGTGTTTTTTTCAGCCCTCTGCAACTCTCATGTTTGGACTAGTCTTCTGGGGATCAGTCAGGCCAGGGCTCCTCAGCTCCCAACACTCCAGGACAGTGCTACAATAAAGCCTAATATTTACCCATGGAATGTTAAACAGTACACTGCTCAAGGCTCTTCAGCAGAGATGGAGGTGTACAGAGGAAGAGACAAGCGGGAGTAAAGGTTCATGCCTGCTCATGCTGGGGGATATTTCATGTGTCAAGCTCAGGTTAAATAAATGACTTTCTGCCCTGGCCTTTCCTTATTTCTAAAATTCTTATATGTATCACCACCTTTTTTGGATTACAGAATGTAAACGGCACCAATGAGTGTGATTGGTCTAAAACTATGGCAGATTTTCAGTGCTTATCAGTCTGAAACCACATCAACAATCTTGGAGTCAAAACCTAATTTAAACCTGGAAATAAACATGTAACTTGAACTACTTCTAGGTCACTAATTACATAAGTAAATTTGTGACGTTGCTCATGTGACTCATTGTACAGACAGATGTCCTTGCTTCCAGTGAATCATCTCGGTGTTTGGATCATCTCAAATCATGCCGGAGAACATGATCATCAGCTTTGACACAAACTTGTAGAGTTCATGCAGCTCGAGTGCTGCTGTCAAACCAAATACTGAGACATTTTGAAATGAATACTCATATTTAATTGACCTTTTCAAAATATTGTGGAAGCATTTTCACACAAGTCTTGGATTTCTGGACCCCACTGGATATATGGATTAAAATTCTGTGCTTAAGCTATGTGCTTATTAATTATTATAGATGTTATGGTAAATATACATACACCATGGTTTGATCACACTCACTGACTTCCAGAAAGCTATAGATCTCCAAAGGTTTGTGAGATGACTCTTTGGGAAGAAACCCAATGGGGTCAATTATGCCAGTTTTAGATGGAGGAGATGACAGAATTGTGGTGTCAGGTCAAAGCTTTTGACCTCAATTCCAACAGTTGGCTGACCCCATTGGGACCTGTCATTGCTAGCAGCAATGAACGAAGAAATGCTGATGAAGCAAAGACAGTGGAAATTATAGATATCCTCTCTTAGGTATTTAATAAATACCTTTGTGGGTGGTAGGCAATTATTTATACTGCAAAGTCAGCCATATGACCCTCAGGTGTGTATGCTCTCAAATGATGTCATACTGTAGTAGCAGAATACTTATCATAACCGGAAATTAATTACTCCCTAATCAGCCTTGCCCAGAGCACTGGACATATCAATATTTACAAAATAAGCCTTCTAACTAAAACCTCAGCATAACAGCAGTCCATAAATCACTTGCTCTTTATTCCTAAAACACTTTTCTCTCTGTCCCAGAAAATTATTTTAGGAACAATCCCAAAAGGTCCTGAAAATGGCATATTTTCTCATCCATCATTTGGTCTGTAAAAAAGTTTTCTATTTGATCGACCACCTCGACAAGCTTGTTGATTTGAGATCACAGATTTATTTAAAGCGGTAAACTTATAAATACTGAGATTAAATAAGACAATGATAAGAAATGTGTGCATGACGTCTTTGATAAAAATAAAAACTTCTACAAAAGTTACTCTTGTGTTCTACAAAGTCACTTTGAAGTGTGCGCCTCCTCACAAAACAAGTTAGAGAAAATCACCATGACTGTGTCCTGGCTTTGTAAGTAAAGCTGCCATTAATGTCAACCTATAACTGAGTGTTCACAGCTGAGCCTTTCTTCATGAACATTTGGATAATTGTTGCCCACATAATATCATTCCAACCATTCATCAGAAAAAGCGTTTCAAGGACACCTCTGGAAAACAACACCCCTGATTTAGCACTCTGAAATAATTCATAGTCTTTAATCTTAACTACTATTATTTTACTGAGGTTGATTGAGTGACAACTGAGTGGCACAATGGACACTGTGGGAGTGTCACATCGGAGCTAAAATCAGGGCTGCGTTCAGCCCCGACAAAAACGGTGCAAAACGTTTTTTAAACGGAAACGGTGGTGCGTTGAACACCCTGTTCTGATGACGCAAGAGTTGAAACATGTCGTTCAAACCGGAAACCGTAGCAAAACGGTGCACACCGGTTTGAGCTTGAACTTGCCCCAGGTAAACAATTAATGTTACACAGTGATTCTCAAACCTCTCCATGAAGTACCCCCAGCACTGCACGTTTTGTATGTCTCTCTATATCAGACACACCCAATTCAGGTCTTGCGAGATTGAGGTCTCTGCAGAGCAAAAGTGTGCGTTTCTGAATTTGTGAGTTGTTTTCAAACTCTCAATCATGCAATCAAAATGATCCCCCTTACCTAACCCAACCCCTAAACCTACCGTCTCTATTACGTCAGCCAGTCAGGAAACATGGTCTAAAAACGCCCTGATCTGGTAACTCCCATAGCTGATGACCTGAATCAGGTGTGTTTGATTAAGGAGACATGCAAAACGTGCAGTGTTGGTGTGCCTCCAGGACCAGGGTTGGGAACCACTGGTGTAGAGGACCAAACTACTGTTTCTTGAAGTGCCCTTCTGCGTCATCATCCCGTACCCACACGGAGGTGCCGTCATCATGCAAAGAATCTGCGCAAAGGATCATGGAGCCCGAAGTGTCCATCCGTTGTAACCTTCGAAATCCTTCATTCCGAAGGGCCCTTTGAAGTGGCCAGTTTTGAGCACTTCGGTTTGGAACGAGACTTCAATATGGCGGCCATGATTGTTTTCACTCCGAAGTGCCCTTCGGAGGGCAATATATCCCGTTTGGACGCACCGACAAAATGTGCAGTGCTGGGGGTACTTCATGGAGAGGTTTAAGAACCACTGATGTAACATATTTTGATTAAATCATGTGACATATTGGGATAAATTTGATTGGCTGAAATTAGGATTGGTTTTTGCTATTGCTGCTATTGGGGAATTTAGTAGAGGGCACTACCTGACTGAAAACAGGGATGTACAGGACACTCAGACTTGGCAGGAATCTTCCCTAAATCTATTATATCAGCAGAAACTATTTTTAGTAACTGGTTCTGAATATCAATTGTTAATTTGAACAATGCAAGTAAATATTGTATGAAGTATGATGAGTCTGAAATTGTATGTGTGTTATCTTATTTGCCATCATTAAATTGATGATGTATATATTATCATTATATAACCTGCTGTCTAGGGAATCAGTCACTGAAAGACTGAAATTAGTTGAGCACTAATCAATACAACCCTAATAAATCGTTTAGGACATTAAATATAACAACAAACCAGGGTTACAAAAGTGATCTGTTGCATGATATTTATATGATCCGTGTAGAAATTCAAAATGATGAAGTGGAACATTCAATGCAATATTTTGACACCCTTTTGGTAATATTATTGGACATGTAAATTTATCTTTACTGACACGCAAGTTGCAGAATACTGAGATCATTTTTCAGACGGATGTTTTCATCAGGTCATCCAGCTGGTGACCCCATTCTTCATTGATTAGTAGCACACTGACCTACATGACCTTTTCCAATATTGATTCAACATTTGGAAAGCTGTACCTCTCTTTAATGCTTTCAGACCCAGCACAGAAAGTTCTTATGCATCTCTCAGTTCTCATGAATATAAATGAAGAAGGATGAGGTCATTAGTCTGTTCTGAAGTCCTGATTTGCTACAATGTACTTGCAGAAATACTGTACACGTCACTATTTTGCAGTACACGTATTGTGTGGATCTTGTCAAGATGAGGAGCTGCCAACACAATATACTGTTCACCTCAATCCAACATCCAATTCTCCAAACAGTATATTTAATTGTAAAGATTCAAAGTGAAAAGTGTTTTTGTTTAGTAAGTGTAGTTCTTCAGTACATAAAAACTAGGCACTTATTGTTCCATATTATTAAAAAAAAAAAAGCACACTGTGTTCAGCATTAATGCTGGTGGTACTAGCAGTGTTATTTCTAAGAGGACAATGACAGACTTGAAAGGAAATAATTACAATGTGAGAACGAGATTTCCAACACTGTTTTGTAAGTAACTGTTGCTTTGCACTAATTCAAGCATTTAGCTCCAATAAAACCCATAACTGTCAACATTGTTGTCTACCATAAATCACCATTTTAACAAATGTTTAAACAAGCATTAGCTCTCAGGTCAAATCTAGTAGATTTCATTGGAGAGAGCTTTTTGTTTGGGCTCTGGATTTGACAGACTCTGTGTATGTTAACAAGATGATTGAGCATCAACAGAGAAACAGTGAAGGGCAAAGGGAGGTTAGAATAGCTTTCATCTCTCTCATGCTGGGATGTGAGCTCAGGCCTGACAAACTACAAACCCAGAATACAAACTGTGCTCAGATAAACCACTTTAACCCGCACTTCTTGGATGGCCTCTTTTCTTGCCTGCCATCTTCTTCAATTCTCCAAGGTGACTTTGTAGATTGCAACCTCAAAATGCCAACATTATTTGTGGAGGCAAACTCCCTTCAGTAAAACGTCCCTTTTGTAGGATTTATTTGCACATTTGAAAGGGAAGAGAAGTTTTAATATATGTAGCTTTAAATCACTAACAATTTTTGTGGGAGGTCAGAAAGTTGCATGGTGGGTCCTAAAGTGATCCGAATATTTAAACCCTTGTTTATTGTATAATTTGGTTCTATGATTTAACCCAGCACTGTCAGTTTAAAGACCTGGACAGCGTCTTAAGAAAGTCTGGTCAATGAAACTTTGAAAGGCGTCCAACTGTCCCTAAAAATAGCAAGTATGGATCCTGAAACCATCGCCTTCTGTTTCCTTCCACTCTCAGTGCCGCAAAGAAGTGCAATCCGTCAGGTGATAAACACGTTTGATGTCGCTTCTCTGTCAGCTCCAAGTTAGCAGAGTATTAACCAGTATTTCAAAGGGAAACCTTTGTGGTTCAATTGGTGTTGAAAGCGCACAAAGTAATCAGCAGAATACTGGAGAAGTTTACTGCGTTTGTGGAAGACTGAACGAGGGCAATTCATCGGTCTTATGCCTCTCTTCATCGATTAAACAGGTAAGATAGAACATCTTTTATCTGAACGGCTGTGTCAGGACTACATTTAAGGCTATTTAGTTTGGTGTTTACATTTAAGACATTAGGCTATTTAGTTTGGCGACTTCGTAGCCTACATTCCTGACAGATACGTTTTCACGGGATCGTATGCAGATTTCAAAACGTGCACTAAATCATTTTTATTGCATGTTAGCCTAAATAATATTTTCACATTCAAAATGGTGCACATATTTCAAGTATTCTTGCGTAATGTTTTTAATTAATTAACATCTGAATGTGTTTCTCGAAATATTGTGCAGATATTCAACTACAAACTTTTCGCACATTGAAAGTAAATTACTGAGCCTTATTAGTTTCCCTTTGTTAATACTGTTATGACAAGACTGTGCATTGTCCACTCCGGGGACTTTATTAATGAAGTCTGCAAAAATCCTAAGCGTGCATAATCTTTATAAAGATTTTTTTTTTATTACCAGTGTATTTGATCAAGGGAATTTTAGACGGATAGTCTAGACAGGGCTACTTTAATGTTTCATAACTGTGGATTCAGGGGTATTTAATCATTAGCCAGGGTGCTATACAAAGGCTGTCCGGGGGTTCAACTGTGGGGCGGAGGCGTTTCAAACGACTAGTGGCTAACATTGGTGGTAGCACATGTAGGAAAAAAATACAAAGTCATGCGTTTCTTTTGTGAGCACAAAGAGTTTGTTGTTAGCCTACACTTTTGAGAAGAATTTGGAAAATAGACTGAGGAAGACACGCAGACTTATTTTCACACCATAGCCTACTTTTGAGCGCTTTCTTAGTAGCCCACAGCATCTCTCTGTCTCCTCCTGTATCCTGACTTCTCACGTCCTTGTTGTTCTTTACCTGTACAATCCACTTTTAGCATGAAACAACGTAATTTTATGTACACATTTCATGTCCGTATGTAGCTATATATAACAATTAAGGCCAATTTCGGGACTGTGCAGGTTTGCCTCGGGCAGGTGTGCGATTTGCAGCACGCTTTTTTTTCAGCGTGATGAATTTCGAGAAAAAAATATGGTGCTTACATTTGTAATTTTAAGCTATTTTCAGCAGCACAACGTTTTAAATTACATTTTATAGAATGATTATAGCGACTTGAGGTATGCTATATTTGGCCTAAAATTAAGGCCAGTAGCCTTTACCTACTTTTTAAAAGCCTCCAATCTTTCCTTTTTGACGTCCATTGGGGTTCTAGCTTTAAGGCGATCAGATGAATATTCTAATGGATTCATGAAATGGATATCTACGTTTACAGTTCCGTTCAATATAATAGAATTTGGAATTGATATTTTTAGCATCGCTCAAATCAAGAATAACTTAGCGTATATCTTTCCTGAAAATATCTATATTACAGTTTTCCAGCGTAAACCGTCCCTTATTAGCCTATAGATAGCAGCGATGTAGGTGTTATTTCGGTTTTGACTCACAATATCTGTTGCTCACACTACAGCATGGTTTTACAACAGACCCAGTTTCTGCTAACACTGGCAACAGGCTAGTACATTTGTGAATATCTCTGTATTACAGTATCAAAAGGTGTTTCCTCAGGTTAAATCACCGATCGCGTCCAGTGTGTCACAGCTGACGTCTACTGACACTCGGTGGAAGCCCCTCTCCTTCCCTCGCGCTTTTTGTTCTTCTCTGGTTTGCTTCATTCGCGAGGCTTCGTCTTATTTTCATCACCTCGAGCTTCATGCGGGAGCCGTCTGTCTATATCAATGTGCATTAATGTAGGCGACAACGTGGAAGAGATAAGGTGAGATAACCTTGTTGATATCAAAGAGCACTACGTGAAGGTCTGCGTTTGATTGTGACATTGGCGGACTTGTTACTATACCACGCGCTTTGTAAACTCGACTTCTGTTGTCTGTATGTGTAACTGCATTGACGGCTGTTGATAAATGTCGATAGAAGGTACGAGAACCATCACTTTTTCTCTTATGTTTAAAAAAAAAAGCATGCACTTTTGTTTACTTACAATGCGTTTCTTGCAGAGCTCTTATCTCATCACCTGGCACCTTTGTTTTGGATTTGCCAAGAATTTCCTAAATCGAGAGTGGGTATACACGACGGGTTTTAATCTAAATCGGGATCTATACATCCAAACTGGGATCTATGAGCGGAAAAGTGGCTAAGCCTAAAGAAGAAAAGGATGCTTCAAAGGGTAAGAAGAGTCTTAAAACGTCTTGATTGCTCACAGTACATCACAGGTATAAAGCGACCGTGATCTCATTCATCTCCCACTCGTTGCATTGTTGCTCAATTGGAAAAACATAAAAGCATTGATATAAATTGGCCAAGGTAAATGTAAAACGTTGAAAAATGATAAGCAGCTCCGCCGAGTAACAGAAAACTGCCACCTGATAAAGACAGAAAATCAGCAGAAATTTCGTTCAGTCTGTTCTGCAGAGATGAATTGTTGGGGCTGTCGCTTTAACGTAACCTGCGATACAACCAATGATTATTCTGTTGAATTTCCCTTTTTTCCTTCCTTGCACATTAAGGTAGGTCTGAGTAACTGTTCAAATGTTTATCACGTTTGCAACGATCTGCGCTGTGTGATGACGCTTAATCGTTTGTTTGGGTAGCTACTGCGCAAATGACCTATTGCGTAAAACTGAGCTTCTGCATGTCTCTGAATCAGCCGCGCTTTAGCGGGATGTAATCTGGCCAACCATTGCCATGGAGACAAAGGGGCTACAGGGTTGCCAAAGAAACCTCCGCGCGATTAATTGATGTGGGGTTTTCATTTCAGTTTACAACGACATGAATATGCTGTGCTCCTTTGTTCCAACTGATGAAATCCCACAGTGTAGTATAGCCTGATTACCTCTAAAATAACCCTGGCACTGTATATTACCAATGTTGTTGGCAAACGGACAAATTCCTTTTGTTCCTCTTTTGTATAAAGTAATAATTAATTTGTTTTTGCATAAAAGTAAATATATTGATCAGAGTGACTTTGTCTTATTGTTCCTTCCCCCTCTTTAGGCAGAGAAGAATAGACCGACAGCTTAGCATTATGTTATATAATTTCAGCATATCCTCATGTATTTTTTATTATTAGTGTTTAGAGTAAATGTACAGCAGACTTTGTTGAATCCCATCAGGAGTTCTTTTTTCTTTTTGTTTTAGGCAGTACTTTGTCAAAGCATTGTACATGACTCATTCACTCAGCATGCTGGCTTTCATCTGATTTTTTTTGGACCATTATGAAATCCATTGCACTGACTGCCTCTGCATCATTAAAACTTTCAGGATTCTATTAACTTTGCTATTCTCACCATCCCTTGTTAGTTTGTTAGTTACTCTAGATTAAATGTGTGAAGTTTAGGTTTTCTGTACTCTGAACTCCGTACATTGAGGTCATCTGTGTTTTCATAGAAACTGTGCAAAGTCATTCACACTTTAAGTGGTTAGCAGCTACACTGTTAAAAGTGTACTTGTGCAGTTGTTGCATAAAGGGTTATTTCTTCTTGAACTAATCCATAAAAATACCTTTGGCTGATGACGTCACGTTGATTCAGTTATAACAAATAATAATCTTGACTTTTAGACGTTAGTCATTAAGTTACAGAGAGTACTTTAAGTACTAACACAGTTTTGATAGTATTGTATTGGCAGTGACAAGAAAAAGTGACAAATTGTAGCAACAGAGGAAGCTTTTAACATACTGGAGACATGGTGATTAAGATGCAAGTTTGAATCTTGCCTGAATTTTACACAGATCACATCCCTCTTCTCTCAATTCTTTTATAATTTTATTTTTTATTTAATTTAATTTATATTTCGAATAAAAACATAACAATACAAGTTCTATGTTTGAAACATTCACTTCATTATGAATTTCCAGTCATGTGTTTTATTTAGGGATTGATAAATATCAGCCTACCAATGCAATGCAATTAGGACAATGGTGCTGAATGCTCAAGGGCACATGACTACAGAACAGGCTAATTAGCCGGAGGATGAATGCCACAGGCTCTGGACTGGCTGAGCAGGGCTTGCAAGTCTTTCATATTTTTTCGGAGATTAATTCATCTCCAGGCCAGATGCAGTGCCAAATCAATAGGCATCCAGAGCATAATGTAGAGAGGCTTCAATAATCACAAAGCAGCAGAAGCTTTTTTTTTTTTTTTTCTCCATGCCCTGCTCTGACACCTGCTCTAATCTTCTTGGCATAGCGGCACCCCGACTGCTGCAGCATCCAAATCCACTGATGGTGTGACTGGAGGTGGAAAAAAAACATCCTGTCTTGATCTGCCAGACCCAAGTAAATTAAATAGCTGAATATGACTTGTATATAAAAGTTTTTTTTTGTACAGTGCCATGTTTCAGTACTGTAGGTTAAATTGTGCCAGTAACATTAAAGAGAGTAACATAAAACATAAAAAGAGACTTTGAACTTGTTGTTTGGATGTTGCTAACCACGTTTCAACCAAAGTGAGGGGAAATGGATACTTTAACATAAATAAAATGCAAAAATGCTTTCCTTAAGTTCCTGAATTAAAGCATTACATAATTAAGCAATTTCACAGAAGCAAGAGTGCTGTTGTTCTGAGTATCAATATGATATTTAGTGCAACAGATATAAGATCTCTACCATTCAAAGGTTTGGGATCGTAGGATTTTTAAATGCTTTTCAAAGAAGTCTCTATTTTAATCAAAATACAGTAATATTGTGAAATATTACTATTTAAAATAACCTTTTTCTATTATATATAATATATTTTAAAATGTAATTTATTCCTGTGATGGCAAAGCTGAATTTTCAGCTACCATTACATCAGTCACATAAAAAAAGATTTGGTGGTCAAGAAACACTTCTTATTATCAAAAGTAAAAACAGTTGTGCTTCTTAATATTTGTGTGGAAATATATCTTTTTTTCTTCTTCAGGATTCTTTGAATAGAAAGGTCAAAAGAAAGACATATATTTGAAATGAATAGCTTTTGTAACATTCTAAATGTTATTGCTGTCACTTTTGATCAGTTTAATATGTCTTAGCTGAATAAAAGTATTAATTTATTTTCAAAAAAATCTTAATCACCCCAAACATCAACAAAAGTAGTTCAGTTTCATGTTTTCTGGAACACTAAGAGCACAGACTCATCATTATTACAAAATGACCTAGTGCTGTTATATTAAATAAAAATAAATTTAGTAAGCAAATTATGTTGCACAGTGCTCTGCCAGAATCTTATTGGTCTTTGAATGGTCAGGCACTTGTATAGTAAGTGTTTTGTAAAGGCTGTGTAAGGACAGTGTGATTCAGGACAGTGCTACCGCTTCCTCAGTGCTGACAGAAATCTCAGCATGCAGCCCTAGAGCAAGACCCCATCTGCATTAGAGAGCTGTCACTCTACATTGCCGCCCTGCTCTCTGAAATGTTTGGGAATGTTGTGGGCCTGTCTCTATATCTGTTTCCTCCACCTCGTCAATGACGGCCGTGCTGGTGAAAGAAGCACGATTAGTGCTCTCTGATTGGCTGGCCTTTTCTCGCTTTAACTTTATCTCCAGCTCCTCACAAGACCCAAGTGCTTCTCATAACAGCAGCCTCAAAAACATGCCTGAAAAGAAAGAGCAGAATAATGCAAATCTTGTTTTTGTTTGTTTTGGAGGACAGTCATAAAATTTCAAGTGCCTCTCCTCGCTTTGGCAATTTGCCTGAAGCGTAATAGTTACCTGTTAGTTATAGTGGGATAAATATTCATGCTGGAATTAATATTCAGGCAAGCCATGGTTATGTCACCTTCAAACATAGAAGAGCACAAATTAGCCAGGTGATTCATCTGAATTAAATGCTGTGACCTTAAAGTCTTCACACATACTCGCATACCTGTGGTGAAGTGAGTGAAGCAGTAATCCAAAGAGCTCTCTGAAGGGAGTGGAAGTCTAAGTAAGCTAAGCTCGTAGTTCTTGTGGATATCAGCTTTGCTTCAGGTGGTTGTTAGAAATTATATGTCACATTGCTCACATCAGAAGGTCACAACCACTGTTCGCAGTCTCGGCCTCAAATGGCGCATGGGCCCACAATCTACTACAATCTTGACTGTCTAATGCATATTGCTCACAAAACTGGATAGTGCTTTTTTAATCTTATTTGGTCTTATCTGATTGGCTGATTTTGTGCAACTTCTGGAAGTTAGGGCACATAGGATTTTATCAGTCTACCTTTTAAAACTCTTGTAATCAAGGATACAACGTCAAGCCCAATTATTCTTACATCCTACTGATTGAAGTGTGGTATTGTGTATTTTAGGATAAATCTCCCCTAAACGTCGTATAATACAAACATGGTCTGTGGTTGCCGTGCATTACTCTCTCTCATTTTTATTCATTTAATATTGACAATGCACATTAATGAACATCAGTATAAAATACAAAATGTAAACATGGAAACATTAGCAAACAATTAATTTGCCTCTAGTCCTTAGAAAGTTAAAGGGTTGGTTTCTCATAAATTGAGAAAACAACTTTTATTTTAGCTTTTGATATATAAGAGATCATCGTACTTAGGGGTGGGCGATATAGCCTCAAAATTATATCACGATATTTCAAGATAAAATTACGGTTGAACCACTGATGTCACATGGACTATTTTAACGATGTCCTTACTACATTTCTGTGCCTTGACAGTGGAATTACCCTTGCTGTCTATGGAGGGTCAGAAGTAGGGGTGGGCGATATAGCCTCAAAATTATATCACGATATTTCAAGAATATTTGCTATGACGATATTAAAAAAATATGGAAAAACTTTTTATTGGTCATTGCAGTTGGTAGGCAGCAGCATTTATTAGTGCAAACAAAATAAAGGGCATTTTCCATCCTTTTCCAATGAGCTACTGTAATCGATGACAGACTACCTAATTCGAAGTGTAAATAAATATTGTCATAAGGTGGCAGCAGCAGCTGTGTGTTCAACTTGAAGCAGACCAATCAGTGTATGGCTTCAAAATACCTTATTATCCCTTATTTACACTGCATGCGTCTGTGGCGCATTACGGCTCCGACACGGCCACCGGAACTGATCGCAGCCACTCTAGTCAATGCTTGTGTTTACAGCAGCTGCGCCGCGGCACGTTTCAGAAGCGGCTCTCCGCGTCGCTTCGCTAAAGATAGGCGCCTCACCTATTTTTGTTAGAGTGTGCGCTCGAATATG